GTTGGCAAAACCCTCCATTACGTTGAAGCTAATGGTATCTTCAAAGATGTCACGCCACTGGCCGAGCAAGTGAAAACAGAGATAGATAAATGGGACTATCTTAAACTAAGAAGCTTCTGCACCTCCAAAGAAACAGTGACCAAAATACAAAGACAGTGTACACAATGGGAAAGGATATTCGCCGAATACACATCTGACAAGGGGTTGATATCAAGGATATACAAAATACTGGTTGAACTCCACAAGAAGAAAACATCCAACCCCATCCAAAAATGGGGCAATGAAATGAACAGAAACTTTCTCAAAGAAGAAATCCGAATGGCAGAAAAGCACATGAGAAAATGCTCTACATCATTAATCATCAGGGAGATGCAGATCAAAACCACAATGAGATACCATCTCACACCTCAGAGACTGGCCCACATCCAAAAGAACAAAAGCAACCGATGCTGGCGCGGATGTGGCAAGAAAGGGACACTCCTTCACTGTTGGTGGGAATGTTGACTGGTTCAGCCCTTCTGGAAAACAGTATGGACGTTCCTCAAAAAATTAGAAATTGAGCTCCCATTTGACCCAGCGATACCACTCCTGGGAATATATCCCAGAGAGGCAAAAATGTATAATCAAAGTCACGTCTGCACTTGTTTGTTCATTGCAGCACTCTTTAGAATAGCCAGAAACTGGAAGAAACCTGAATGCCCAAGAACAGATGACTGGTTAAAGAAACTCTGGTACATCTACACAATGGAGTACTATGTAGCTCTTAGAAAAGATGAAGTCATGAAATTTACATACAAGTGGTACAACATGGAAAGTATCATGCTAAGCGAAATGAGTCAGAAAGAGAGGGATAGACATAGAAAGATTGCATTCATCTGGGGGATATAAAGTAACAAAATATGAGATTAATACCCAAGAATAGCTGAGATCAGCACCAGGAGGATTACTCCATAGCTTAGAGGCCAGCTGGGCATTCTAGGGGAAAGGGCAGCTCAGAGAAGGGAGCACCAAATAAAGGGTGTTTGGAGGATCCTCCCAGGAGGGGAGATGTATGTCGAAAGTAGACTATGGACTGAACATGTTTGCCACTCAATGCCTCTTTTGCAGACCACAACACCCAAAAGAAGAGAGAGAACACAAGGGATTGCCCTGCCACAGAGGCAGGGTGGGATGGGGGGAATGGGGGTTGGGGGGATATTATCCATGGTGGTGGAAAATGGGCACTGGTGGAGGGATGGGTTTTTGATCATTGTATAATCGAAACCCAAGCAAAAAAAAATTGTAAATCTACAACTGTACCTCATGGTGTTTCACCAATAATAATAATAATTTTAAAAAGTCAATTATTAAAAAAAAGTATACATATTCTCAAGTAACACAGCCTTCTATCAAGAGATAGACCACTACTTTCAACCTATAAAGCTTATTTGTAACTTTTAACAGTGAGTTCTAACTGCCAACCCATCCCTTGGGTAACCATTGTTCTTGACTTTTTTCACCACGGTCACAGTCATGGTCCTCCCGTTGTTCATCGATTTGCTCAAGCAGGCCCAGTAACGTTTCCATCATGAGACTTGTTGTTACTGTGTTTGGCATATCGAATACATCACGGGGAGCTTGCCAGGCTCTGCCGAGCAGGCGAGATACTCTCGGTAGCTTACTGGGCTCTCAAAGAGGAGCAGAGGAATCAAACCGGGCTCACCCGGGCAGGCTGCACACAAGGCAAACGCCCTATGGCTGTGCTACAACTGGTATATTTCTGTCATAGTATTTCATGTAAGCAGATCAAATGGCACATCCTTTTTCGTATAAAATTTCATTAGGTACACTGCTTCCAAGGCTCGTGTTTTGCAGGCATTGGGAGTGAGTTTGTTTATACTGCTGAACAGAATTTCATTGTGTAAATATAATACAAGTTGCTTCTCTACTCACTAATGAATGAACATTTGGTTTTCATTTTTCCCAGATCTGGGCTGTCATTAATGGAGTTACCATGAAATTCATGTTCTTGTCTTTTATGGGAAATGTTTCTTGAGGAAATACCAAAGAATAAAACTGATGGGTCATAGAATAAATACACTTTTACTTTTTTTTTTTTTTGCTTTTTGGGTCACACCCAGCGATGCACAGGGGTTACTCCTGGCTCTGCACTCAGGAATTACTCCTGGCAGTGCTCAGGGGACCATATAGGATGCTGGGAATCGAACCCGGGTTGGCCATGTGCAAAGGCAAAAACCCTACCCGCTGTGCTATTGCTCCAGCCCCTACACTTTTACTTTAAAAGAAGGTGCCATGAGCCAGGGAGATGGCTCAATGGGCTGGAGCTCATGTTTTGCAGAGGGAACTGAGTTCAATCCTGACAAGTGTGGCCACCCAACCACTGCTAGCTATGTACCCCCCCAAAAAAAAGGTGTCACATTTTTCCAAATTATATTTATCCCATTTGCTCCCTCACTAACAAAATATGAGCATTCCAGTTGTTCTATATCCACATCAACATTCGATGTCAATATCAAATATCAAAACTCCTTTTCAATAAGTTATCTGAGGAATATATGACAGTGGTTTTATTTTCCATTCCCACAATGACAAGGAAGATTAAGAATTTTTCATGTAATTAAGGTCCTTTCTACCATCTTCCTCTGCAAACTTCTTTTGAAATCATTCAATTTTGGGCAAGTAATTTTCCATCTTCCCTGAAATTCAATTTCTTCAGAATAAAATGATAGTTGTTAATTCACATATCTAGAACTTTTCAATTCTCATTTACACAAGAGGTATACTTATTACATATCAAAGGTAATCAAATTTAAAACAATAACAAAAAATTAGCTGAGACTAGAGATTACAGATAACCTTTACAATAATTATAACTCAAGACTTGCTTAGCTCCATGCAATTAACAAAGCACTTTGATTTTTTTATTTCATCCATAAAATATTTTTTCACCCAAAAAAACTGGGGCACCCCAGAGTGGGGCGGGTGAGAGCCCTCCACACTCCAAGGGACCCAGCCCCGGCTGCCAACCTCCACTACCACACTGCCGCCACACTCCAGGCCACTTCCCAGACTGCGTGGCCACTTTGTGGCTGCACGCCACATCATAAAACACTTCCTACCCATTTTCCATAATTACCACACCATATTTGATGGGGTTCAGACAGTAGGCAACAAAATCATAGAAATATATCACTGTATCACTGTATCACTGTCCTCCCATTGTTCATCGATTTGCTCGAGTGGGCCCAGTAACGTCTCCATTGGAGACTTTGTTGTTACTGTGTCTGGCATACCGAATACTCTCAGTAGCTTGCCGGGCTCTCCGAGAGGGGTGGAGGAATCGAACTCGGGTCGGCCATGTTGGTCGCTTGTAAGGCGAACGCCCTACCCGCTGTGCTACTGTTCATATTACCTTACAAAAATAAGAACTCACAAATGCAATAGAAACTTTATTGTCCTTACACAGCTGTAAAAAATTGCAAACAATATATAAAAAGTCAGATATCAAAATAATAGTTACAAATTGATTCCAAATAAGGTACAACAAATTTGTCAAGCTAATTCTTGCCACTAAAATTATTACGGGGAACTGGAATGATAGTACAGTGGGTTAAGGTGCTTTTCTTACAAGCCAACTACCTGGTTTTGATCCCCAGGACCCTGTAAGATTCCCCAAGCACCACTAGGACTAATTCCCACTAGGGCAGAGCCAGAAGTAACTCCTGAGCATCACCAAGTGTGACCCAAAAAAAAAAAACTAAACAAAATCATTATAATAGTTATCCCTGTGTAAGGCTTTTAGTAACATTCTATCACAAGATCATGGTGTTGACCATGATTAAGAGCTTATACTTAACAAAGCACATTTCTTTATATATATTAGCACTGCACTGTAGGAATGTCCTCCCGTTGTTCATCGATTTGCTCGAGCAGGCACCAGTAACTGTTAAAGCTCTTACTGTTTTTTGGCATATTGAATACGTCATGGGTAGCTTGCCAGGCTTTGTCATGTAGGCAAAATACTCTCGGTAGCTTGCCAGGCTATCCAAGAGGGGCGGAGGAATCGAACCTGGGTCAGCCTCATGCAAGGAAAATGCCCTACCCACTATGCTATCACTCCAGTTTGTTTATATTACACTAAATAAAAAGATATTAAAAGATGCCTGTTTGTGCTATATAAAAGATACCTTTGGAATCTGGAGAGAGAATACAGGGGTGAAGATGACTGCCTTGCATATGACCAACCCAAGTTAGATCTCCTCATAGCTTTGTCTCCCAAAACATTGCCAGGATCAAACTCCCCAGCACAGAGCCAGGAGTAACCTCCAGCACTTCTGGGTGTGGCCAAATTCCATCCCACCCAAAAAGAGCTAACTTTGGGGAATTAAAACCAGTTCCTGGAGGTGGAGAGACAATACAGAGAGTAGGGCGCTAGCCTAGCACACAGCCAACCCACGTTCGATCCCTGGTATCCCATATGGTCCCCTGAGTCCACCAGGAGTCATTTCTGAGTGCAGAGTCAGGAGGAAGCCCTGACCATCACCAGGTGTGGCCCCCAAACAGAAAACCTACTTCCTTCTTCTTTCCCAAACACAGTCTTAAGTGTTTCCTATAGCTCATCAATGAACAAAATCACCTGCGGTGCTTCTTAAACATACAGATTTTCAAGCCAGAGACTGATTCAGATTATACGTGATAGGAGGCCCAGAATGTGTTTTTTGTTTTTCACAACATGACTCTACTGATTATTATGGGACAAATATTCTTCAACATGACTGAAAGAATTTTGAACCCTCTTTTCATTCAGAAAATTATTTTAAAAAAATCATGCAAGATAGAAAAATGTTCACTCAATTATTTGTCAGCGACTTTACACACACTCAGTGAAGTGTCCATTAAGCAATAAGTAAAACCCATAACTATATGGAATATACACACAACAGTGAGAATGATACACAATGAGGTCACAACCTAGCCACAAGCAGCAGAAAGAGTCTTACCACACAGCTTTTCCTGGATCCTATGCGACTCAGCTAATCTCTCCTCTGCAGCCCGTCTTCCAAAACCAGCTTCCTTTCTGGCAACGGCCAGATCATACTCCAGACTTTGCCGCAATGCCTCTCCTTTTTCAACCTCAGATCGCAACTTCGCAATCTGGCTCTCATAACTGGCCAACTGAAAGCAGATTGCTGGTATTATGAACCAGTATTAAACATTATCTCCAAGATTACAAGACTATTCCCCCAAACATTAAAGCTCCTTAGAGAAATTTATTTCGACAATATTCATAAAATAGTACTTTACAAGAGCAGTGGTAAGCATTCATTTTACTCACCAAATAACTTTTATTAATTTTCTTATTTAGAGAATTCGCATAGAAAAATATTTTAATTTAAACTAGAAATAAAAATAAATCACAAATTTTAATGGAAAAGTAAAAGTAACATGTAAGATATTTGTTAAAGACTAGCGTTATAATACCTAGGGAAGAGCACTTATCTTGCATGCGGCCAACCCAGTTTGATGATCCCAGCACCCCAGAGGGTCCCCTGAGCCCACCAACAGTGATCCCTAAGACCAGAGCCAGGAGAAAGTCCTGAGCACCAAGTTTGGTCTAAAAAACAAAAAACAGCAACAACAATCAAAAACAACTTAAAAACAAAAAAGAATTTTTTTAATTGTACAATGCATAGTAGCACTGCAGCACTGTCCTCCCGTTGTTCATAGATTTGCTCCAGCGGGCACCAGGAACATCTCACAACAAATTGTGAGACTTGTTACTGTTTTTGGCATGTTGAATACGTCACAGGTAGCTTGCCAGGCTTTGCCATAGGGGAGAGATATACTTGGTAGCTTGCCGGGCTCTCCAAGGGAGGCGGAAGAGTTGAACCCGGGTCGGCTGCATGCAAGGCAAATGCCCTACCCGCTGTGCATAGTAAGGCCTTGAAAATAATTCTCTCTTCTTCTAGCCCCTTTATGAAATCAAGACACAAACTTCATCAAAATATAGTTCAGCAAATATTGCATACTATTTTTCTTGATTATGTATTACTGATAGAGCATAGAACTGTAGCACTGTCCTCCCGTTGTCCATCGAGTTGTTCAAGCGGGCCCAGTAATGTCTCCATTTTGAGACTTGTTGTTACCGTGTTTGGCATATGATAGAGCATAAAGTAATAAAAATACCAGTTTTCAGGACTATAATAAACTAGGTTCTAATTGAACTACTTCCCTTAAATAGTATGACAGAAGACAGGCCAGAAATTGGAACAGATAATTTATGAGGTGCTTATCCACTCTGAAATTTGATGATCTAATCGACAATTCATTAAATGATATAAAACACTAGGTGACAAGTGAACATGTCAAGTGAGCAAAAAAAAAAAAAACCATAATAAAGCACCTGATCTAAGAAATTAAATGCCATTAAAAAAGGCACATGAATTACATTTTATAAGAGGTAAAAATGTGGTCCACAGGACAATTGCTAGAACTTAGAACACATGTCCTGCCAGCATATGGTCACAAGTCCAAATCCCCAGAGTCCCATATGCCTCGAGCATAATCCAGGCAGATCTGCTGTTCTGTGACCCCTGGAGTCACCAGCAATCTTTGGTCTCACTCCAGCCAGGTTTGTCAAAGCATCACAGAACGGACCGCAACCCCCCAGCATCTCGACTAAAGATGTGCAAAGTGCCAGGAAGTATGATCTCTGGCCAGCACCAGGACAGGTAGCACAGTGAGTGCTAGCGGCACCACAGCTGTGACCTTTGTATCTCCACTGTTAACACGAGTGCGAGAACCACAACTGCAAAAGGAGCACAGACCTGAGGAAGCATAGCAGCTGAGTGTGAGGCTGTGGCCCCAGGGAACATCAGAGCTGGAAATGTGCAAGGAGTTTTGAAACATTATGAGATCTGAACAAACAGAAAAACTAAGTCTCATAAACTTGAGACTCAAGGCTCCAGAACATGTACCTGGACCTTCCCATTACCTCCCTGGCTTCTTGACTAAAAGCAACTTGAGGAAGCACTGCTGCATTGTAGATCTCCCCACAAACGTAGTAGCTTTGAACGGGAGAATAATATATGTGTCCCATACAAAGGATATGAAAAATGGAAGTGAAAATGGCCTTTCTCTCTCTGTCTCTGCCTCTCTCTGTCTCTGTGTCTCTGTTTCTGTCTCTATCTCTGTTTCTCTCTCTGTCTCCCTTTCTCTCTGTCTCTCTACTAACTTAGCCTCTAAAATCCATAGAGTTTCCACCATTATCAGCCCCCAAACCTTGCAACTGTGAGCCTTATGCCTCAGGGTTTTTTTTTTAATTGAACCATGAGGGGATACAGTTACAAAGCTTTCATGCTTGAGTTTCAGTCATACAATGATCATACAACCATCCCTCCACCAGTGCATATCTTCCACCACCAAGGTTCCCAGTATCTGCCCCAGTATCCCAGTCTTCCCCCTGCCTCTATGGCAGACAATCTTCCCCATATTCTCTTTTGTATTGCTTGTTATGAATAGCATAAGATGTCATGTGGCTGCAAGAGTGGCCACGTGCTCTTGGAATTTTAAAACTTTAGATAATTAGGGTCTGGAGAAATCTCTGCAGTGAGCCCTTTGCTAGGTTCCGAGATTCTTTTGTGTGTCTCTGGATCATGGCCTTAAGGAGCTTAAATAGCAGCCAGAGGCAGTTCATAGGCGTGACCTCCAGGGTCCCATAGAAACAAGGAGAGGAGATGGACCAGCCTATCCCCTAACTCTTGAGGCCTGGAATTTACCATAACTGAACCCCCAGACCTGCACTTCCCACTGGGTCTGAAAGTTGGCAACCGCCAGGATTTTTAGGGGGCAGGTAGGGCCTTGAGGCTTTTAAATACATATTTTAATTCCCAAGTGATGAATACTTCTACCAAGGAATGTAAAAATGATCTATTATCATACACAATACAATTGCTACAACATAGATAAATCCTGAAAATATTATGCCAAGTAAAATAAGCAAAGAATCAATATTGCATGAGTAGTAGCTACTTAAATGAGTTACCTGCCTAGAATATGAAAATTCAAAGAAACAAAATTTAGATTAGAGGCTCCCAGGGTCTTTGGGAAGGATAAGATGAGATGTTAATGTTTGATTAGCACATAGTTTGTTTGAAATAAAAATATATTTTTGAAAATACAATAATGGGGATGACTGTAATTATATTCACAATAAATATAACTAATTCTACTAAATTGCATACTATAAAATAGTAAATGGCAAATGTGTTTATTATTTATATAGTATACAGCAAATAGTATACAGTAAACAGTATATGGCAAATGTTACCTTATTTATCATTTACCATTCACAGACCCACAAAAGAACATTTTTTTTCTTTTTGGGTCACACTCATCGAAGCCCAGGGGTTACTCCTGGCTTTGCACTCAGGAATCACTCCTGGCGGTGCTCGGGGGACCTTATGGGATGCTGGGAATCGAACCCGGGTCAGACCCGGGTCAGCCACATGCAAGGCAAATGCCCTACCCACTGTGCTATTGCTCCAGCCCCAAGAACATTTTTTTCAAAGATGGCTAAGTCTGAAGAGAGTCTACCTCGAGGCTACTTTGGGTCTCCTCGGGCCACTAAAGACAGAGGAAAGAGAGATTCTATCCGCTTGGGGTGACTGATTCTAAGTCCCAGAAGACTGAGGAGAGAAGATAAATGAAACCTGATGATTCCATGGTATAACTCTTACTACAGCCATGTCTACAGAAAATATGCTTTCAGACATAATAGGCAGGGCCATGAAGAAAGCAGTATTAGGGACCAGAGAGATAATACAGCAGGTAAGGTGCATGCCTTGCAAACTGTCAACCTGAGCTCAACCCCCAGCACCAAATGGGTCTTAAAAGCACTGTCAGGAGTGAACGCTGAGCACTACTAGTTGTGGCCCAAAAACAAAAACAAAATCTTTTGAATGGCATCTCCCTCTATTTAAAAACATGTCTGCATTCTCTTAAAAGCCTCATCAATGGGTAGTTCTCCAGTCTTTCTTTGTATTTCTAAAGCATGTCTCAGCCTCTAAGAGAACGTTTTTTCACCTTTATAATCTTCATTTGCACCATAAGGCAAAGAAAGTTCTCACAGAATAATGTAATTAAATGTACAAAATAAAGACACAGAAAGTCCGTGGCAACCCAGGAGGGTCGGGTGAGTCCCCGCCACAGGCCCCAATATAGCCCCGGCAATTGAAAACCTCCAAAAATCAATCGCTGCCATGCTCATGGCCAACTTTCACAGGCTCAAACCAACCTCATCCATGAGTAAATCTGCTGAAAAACCCAGGTATGCAGGAATTGTGACCAAAATCTCCAAGTTCACAGTGAGTCAGGAATGGGAGACCTCCCCCATCTCCCTGTGCTTCCAATAACCTGGCAGTCATGCCCAGGAACTGCCTCTAGTGCCATATAAGCTGATTAACAGCCATGATCCAGAGACGCAGAAGTAAATCTCTCAGAAGAAAGCAATATGAGAGCAACACACCACTGAGATCCTCTGGGTCCTAAAGTCACCATCCAGTTAAAATTAATTCATTCACTAACCTCCGCTAATATATATTTAAGTTTAAAATTTTAGAATTCCTGGAGCACGTGACATCTCATACTCTATACCAATTGTGTACCAAGACAAGCTTAATGGCTCCAGGGTGAAATACAAAAATCTTCACACACTTTCCACTAAAGAAACTTTTTGGGGTCATTTTTGCAGATTATTCCTAACAAGCAATGCAAAATAAATTATTTAGGTCCTTTTGGGGGGCATGCTTGGGGGGTTCGGGTGCAAACATGCGAAATATGGTGGTGGGAAGGTGTAATGGTGGTGGGATTGGTGTTGAAATATTAAATGTAATATTTCTTATTATGAACATCTTTTAAAATATTAATTATTGTGAACATCTTTTAAAATGTTAAAAAAATTTAAAAATTAATTTTAATTAAAAAAAACAGGTTGAAAAAGAGAACGACAATGTAGGAACAAATATACAACATATGAACCAATCTGTGATGACATAATCTACATACTTCTCTATTTCTCTCTCCCCTTTTTGGTTGTTTTTGTTTTTTGTTTTGCCATTGGTTTGGGGGTCACATCCAATGGTGTCATGGCTTACCTCTGGCTCTGCACTCATGGAGCCAACGGGCCAAATGGGGTGCTGGGAACTGAACCTGGATTGTCTGCAAGCAAGGCAGACTTATCTACATTTTTTTTTGGAGGGTATCAGTTGTACTTGTGGTTTATTCCTGGAAGGCTCAAAGGACCATATGTGGGACCAGTGACTGAAACCAGGTCAGCTGTGTACAAGGCAAGAATCCTACCTGCCTGTTGGGAGGATCCTCCCAGGATGGGAGATGCATGCTGAAAGTAGACTATAGACCGAACATGATTGCCACTCAATGTTTCTTTTGCAAACCACAACACCCAAAAGGAGAGAGAGAACAGAGGGGAATGTCCTGCCACAGAGGCAGGGTGGGATGGGGGGGATGGGAGGTGGGAGGGATGATGGGACCCGTGGTGGTGGAGAATGGGCACTGGTGGAGGAATGGGTACTCGATCATTATATAACTGAAACCCAAGCACAAAAATTTGTAAATCTACAACTGTACCTCATGGTGTTTCACTAATAGAAATTTTTAAAAAAAGAATCTTACCTGCTACACTATCTTTCCAGTCCCTCTACATATTTTTCAATAACACACTGAGTAACAAACTCTACTACCAAATCTAACAATCACTGCAATTTCTTTGTGATAGTAAAAGCTGTATTTCAATAACTGAAATGTTTCAGTAACTGAATTAGTGATATATACCGTGCTTTCATTGATAATAAAGTCAAAAATAATGCTAATATCATATGGGTAAAAATTATAATAACAACAATGGCTAACTAAAGGAGGCTGGGTCAACTTCATAGTTGAAGGAAATACTTAATTTATTGGTGAACAAAAACTTGTATGTTTTGTCCCCTTCTGAGTCCATGAATCCCCTATTTTTCTGTCTCAGAGGATCCCAGTTTTTAAAACCCTCCTCCCTGTGCTAATGAGCTACATGAGTGTCAAAACAAGGTTACTTCTTTCAGCTCTCTGGGGGCTTGCACATAAAAATAATCAGGTAAGCATGAAATAAATCTTTTCATTCTAAAATATCTGTAGCAGCAACGTGTTGTGGAAGAGCAATAACAAAACAAATTCAAAAAAACACCTGAGTTATCATTTTAAAAGAATAAGTTTTCAAAAAGATTTTCCAACAGAACAGCAGAACTTAAAAAAGGACATAAAACATACTACTTTACACAGAACTGCCAATAAATTATAACCATTACAGTACACTGCCACTTTACAAATTTCATTTAATTACCAAAACAACCTTTTAGAACCAGCATTTCACAATGAGAAACCAATAATATACGGAATAAATAACTAGCCTAAGTCACATATCTTATAAATGGGAAGGCCTGGAATGAGTCCAGATTTGTGTAAAATGATATTCTTTCCACTACACCAGGTTGCCTAAGCTGTGCTTTAAGAATGAAGGGCCTTGGGCTGAAGAGAAAGCTCAAAGGACCAGAGCATATACTTTACACGCAGTGCACCAAATCTGATCCGGGCACACATGTCCCCTGAACACTGCAGGGAGCAAACCCCTAGAGAGCAGAGCCAGCAATAACATGCAAGCACTGCTAGTTGTAGTAAAAAAATAATAAATTAAAAAGTTAATAAGATTTAGAGAAAAGGAGGAAAAAATACAGCATATAAAACAGACACAGAATCTGTGAGTTGTGTTAGAAAAGAAAAATAATTACTCTCCTTGAAATAAATATACATAGAGTCATGATACATTAAAACAAAAAATCTAAGCTTATATATGAATCATACTATAATCTTAAAATATACGCTAGGGCCAGAAAGACAACTCAGGAGCTGAAGCACATGCTTTTAAGTAGAAAACCCAGATTCGATCCTCGGCACCACCAGAAGCAACCACTGAGCACAGACATAGGAGTAGCCAAGAGCACCTCCAGGTGTTGCCTCAAAAGCCACACTCAAATTGATGTTTCATTTTTTTAAGTTTTTTGGGCTTTTATGCCATGGTGTTCAGAGGACCATGGAGGCCTGGCAATCAACTCTATAGCTCCTACTTATAAAGTATGTACCATCAGCCCAGCTCTCAAATCTAGTATCAAAAAATATATTATTTCCATGATTGAGGCCATAAAGGAACCACATTCTGATTTCAAAAAGAAAAAGTGTCTAATTTAAACGTCCTAGAGGCCAAAGAGATAGAACAGTGAGTGGGTAGGACACTTGCCTTTCATGTGGCTGACCCAGGTTGGATCCCTGGCATCCCACATGTTAACCCAGGAGCACTAGAGCCAGAAATAAACCCTGAGTACTGCCCTGAGTGCAGAACCAGGAGAAACCCTAAGCACACTACCAGGTGTGGCCCAAAAAAAAAAAAAAAAAAACCACAAGAAAAAAATAAAACAAATACCCTTAAAGATAAAAATGTAATTATCAATTAGTATTACTAATTTAAATTTTTCAATGGCCAGGGAGACGGCTCAAAGGGCTGGACCATACATTTTGTATATGGGAGCCCCTTGTTTGTGCTCCAGTACCATGAGGAGTGACCCCCAGTATCATGCCCAGAGCAGCCCCTGAGTACATCTGATTGTCACCCAAAAAACAAAAAATAGTTTAAGACAAAATACATTTATTCCTTGAAATTCAACTTTATAGAATTAACACATCTATGTAATTTGACTATATTAAGTAATAATGACATAGAAACAGGTGTTAGACAGTTTATAATATGGAACAAATAAACAGTGATCAAAATATTTTATCTACACATTATAGTATCTACAAGAATCAAACATTATCTGGGAGAAAAATAAAACCTACTTCGGCATTGTGCTTAGTTGTTATTTCTAATTTTTCTTTCTTTGCCCGATGGAGTTTCTTTCTGAGATCAGCAGTAATATCCAACTCTGTTTCATTTTTAAGCATTTGTTTTATATCAGGCGAGGCCGTCTTCAACCTATAAAATGAGGTCATTGTAAAATACAGTTCTCATTAACATATAAGGCCCTCCCGTTGATCGTCGATTTGCTCGAGCGGGCCCAGTAACGTCTCCATTGGAGACTTTGTTGTTACTGTGTTTGGCATATCGAATACTCTCGGTAGCTTGCCAGGCTCTCCGAGAGGGGCGGAGGAATCGAACTCGGGTCGGCCATGTTGGCCGCTTGTAAGGCGAACACCCTACCGCTGTGCTATCGCTCCAGCTCATTAACATATTTCAAAAAATTTCTAATCTTTTGTTAATTTTTTGTTAATATGTTAATTATCGCTGGAGCGATAGCACAGAGGTAGGGTGTTTGCCTTACAAGCGGCCAACATGGCCGACCCGAGTTCGATTCCTCCGCCCCTCTCGGAGAGCCCGGCAAGCTACCGAGAGTATTCGATATGCCAGACACAGTAACAACAAAGTCTCCAATGGAGACGTTACTGGGCCCGCTCGAGCAAATCGACGATCAACGGGAGGGCCTTTAATTAATTTATTAATTTAATTTCTAATATTTCTAATAAATTCCCCCTCCCCCGCCCCCCCCAAAAAAAAAAAGAAAACAAGGAAGCTGTTGAAGAGATCGTACAGTCCGTAAGACACTTGCCTGTCAAGGTGCTGATCCCAACTCAATCCCTGGCACCATACATATATATATATATAGGCTGGGGTGATAGCACAGCGGTTGGGCGTTTGCCTTGCACGCAGCCAACATGGCCGACCCAAGTTCGATTCCTCTGCCCCTCTTGGAGAGCTCGGCAAGCTACCGAGAGTATCTCGCCCGCACAGCAGAGCCTGGCAAGCCCCCCGTGACGTATTCGATATGCCAGGCACAGTAACAACGAAGTCTCCAATGGAGACGTTACTGGGCCCGCTCGAGCTCGAGCAAATATATATATATATATAATCCTCGAGTGTGACCCAAGAACCCAAAAAGAAAGCACAAGGAACATGCTAAGGCCCTTGCCTTAGCGACAGTTGCAGTCAAATAAATGATTCCCAGTGAAAAAGCCAGGTGGGCAGACTAAAAACAAACTACTGTCCTCTGAGAAATACCACAGTTCATGAGTGATACTTAGAGACCTTCTGATCCTGTTACACCTGGCTAGTAGGAGAAAGACCATGTTCTTTCACTTTTCCTTTTCTTTTTTATTTTTATTGGGAGAGAATGCTCCAAAGTGCTAATGAGTAGGTCTGTGGGTCCCACTGGGAAATTTTAGTCACGGTGCTGGCAGTTCAATGTAAGGGCCCAGTGCTGCCCTGCTGCTCTGGCCCTGCAGTGACAGGGAACACCCGGGTCACCTAAGGCCCACCAGGGCCATACCAAGTGGTGCTGGTGCCAGGACTGAACCCTGAGTGAGTGTATATAAGGTATGCTCACTAAAAACTATACTATCTCCTGGACCACACTTTTTACATTTATAAATGGCATCTTTTATTTATTGCAAATGTAATACATGTTAGAGTAAGAAAACAAGTATAAATGAAAGAATAACAATTCCTGTTTAAAAATAACTGACTAGGACTGGGGTTGTGGCTCTGTGGCAGAGCATATCGTTACTTGTGTGAGGTCCTAAGTTTGCTGTCTGGCACCACAAAAATCATTGATTAGAATATTCTTCTCCCCACCCTTGCCTCACCTCCACCAAGGGGGAGGGGAACACTGAAATAACATCAAAGAGAATGTAAAGTGATAAATCAACACAGAGAAAGTATACAAAAGATGAGACAATAGCAATAGAATACTGGAAATTGAAAAGCAGGTAGACAAGTGGTTACTGACTTATCTAAAGAGTTGAATTCAGGGGCCAGAGCAGTGGGTAGGGTACTTGACTTGTACGCAGCCAACCCGACCCAAGTTCAATACCCAGTATCCCATATGGTCCCCCCGCATCATCAGGAGAAATTCTTCAGTGTGGAGCCAGGATTTACCCCAGGAGCATCACCAGATGTGCCCCCCCAAAAAAAACACACAATAAAAAAGTTGTATTCAAGGCCAACAGTGGGGAAGCAATCTGATTTACACCTAAGCTCCTAAAAGGTCAGCAGTTAGAAACACCTTTGAAAATGGAGGTAAAGTAACCCCGGTTCTACTCAGCAGGAGGCACATGCCTCCCCACTGTATGAGCTCTGGGCTCATCCCTGGCATAGATGCCCCCAATCTCCAGCATTGGAGGGTACTTCATGGTACTTGATGGTTCCCGAGCACTGCCAGTGTGTCCCTGATGACCTGCAAGCACCAATCTATCAGGCACATACTGCAGGACTGAGCAGCACCAGGAGTGGCCTTGGGGGTCCCCTAGACGCCCCGGGGTTCTCTATACAAATACATTAAATAAACAGGGGTCAGGACAGAAAAGTAGTACAGGGGTAAGACACAACAATTCAGTCCCCTGCACTACACATGTACTCCTGAGCACACAGCCAGGAATAGGCCCTGAACACAGCCAGCGGTGGTGCTAAACCACCCCCCTCTGAAAATAAAAGAACAAATTGGGACTAAGAAAATTGCACAAGGTGGGTGGAAAGACAGCACAGCAGGTAGGACACTTACTTTGCACGCAGCCAAACCAGGTTCAACCCTGGCATCCCATGTAGTCCCCACCCCGAGCACCATTAGGAGTGTTTCCTAAGTGCAGAACCAAGAGTAACCCCTGAGCATCTCTGTGTGTGGCACAAAAACAAATATATGTGTGTATGTGTTTGTAGGTACAAGTATATATGCATATGCATAAGTATACATATCTATATATGAACAACATACATATAACAAGGGTTAAAGCACTAGCCTTGCATGTGGCCAATATCAGTTTGTACCCCATCCTCACAAGGTGGCTCTAGTACTGCTGGGAATCCCCCTCAAGTACAGAGCCAGGAGTAGCCCCCAGGTACTGCTGGGTGTAGCCCTACATCCAAAAATAATTAAAATATTCCAAACTTTTTAATATATTTATAAAAATATTTACATTTCACAAGTAAAAGTCTCATAATATATATAAGAACATACCAGTTCTTAACTCTCAATAGTCGGATTACATAGTCTTTGTTCAATTTGTATTAACTTTTCTAAATATACATGCATTAACATTAAACATACTTATATATACATATGTACATATTTAGGACATCAATAAGATCCTGTTCGAGATGAAGTCATGAAATTTGCTTGTAAGTGGATAGACATGGATAGATATCATGCTAAGTGAAATGAGTCAGAGAGGGACAGACATAGAAGGACTGCATGCATTTGTGGAGTATAAAATAACATAACATGAGACTGATACCCAAGGACAGTAGACACAAGGGCCAGGAAGATTGCTCCATAGTTGGAAGCCTGACTCATGAGCAGGGGGAGAAGGCAGCTGGAATAGAGAAGGGATCACTAAGAAAATGATGGTTGGAGGGATCAGTAGGGATTGGAGATGTGTGCTGAAAGTAGATAAAGGAACAAACATGATAACCTCTCAGTATCTGTATTGGAAACCATAATGCCTAAAAGCAGAGAGTGCGCATGAGAGAAATTGTCTGCCATGGAGGTAGGAGTGGGAAAGTGGGGGGGTATACTGTGGAGATTGGTGGTGAGGAATGTGCACTGGAAGACGGATGGGTGTTTGATCATTGTATGATTGTAACTCAAACATGAAAACTTGTAACTGTATCTCACGGTGATTCAATAAAAGAAAAGAAAAGAAAAAAGATCCTGTTCATAAAATAGAACATCGAGTACAAGATGCTCTTTTCAACAGTTTTAAACCATAGCCCTGACGAGGATGGTAGGGAACATGCTAATAAGGCCTCTCACTCTTGACACTCAACATCTGATGAGAGTCCCTTGGGAAACCCTCCTCTTAACAGTACTGTGAATCACAGTGCTTAAAATAAAATTTGAAAAAAATTAAAAAAAGACTCTTGGAGACGTGGGGATGGCTCAGTAGAAGGGTACCTGTCTTCGTTCCTAGCACAGCCCCAGAATGCCTGAGTGCAATCCCAGTACCTCTGCTGTTTGGGAATTCTACCACCACAACGAAATATGTAGCCCAGATGAGCACCACAACCTAGTATGAAACCAAGCCTCATCATCACAACACTACCACCACCAACATGGATATGGAAAGAGGGAAAATAAGCACAGAAATGAATAATGAAAAAGTCCTTGTTGACAATGAAATAATAGCCAAGAAAACTGCTTAGACTTTATTCATTTGTTCTCTACCTTGCACAAAAAAGGAGTTAAAATCGTTAGGTGGGAAATGTTTGTGAACCCTAATTATAGGTAAAGCACTCCTACACATCGAAAAGTACTCCTTAACATCCAATCATGTTAAATTTGAGAATAACTAAAAGGGAGTTATTCTCAAACTTAACATGTACAATGAAGATTCTCTGACACACTTCTGTAAAATGTATTTCAAAGATATACTTTTAATAAAAAAAAAAAAGAACCAGAAAGTACTTGCAATAGCGATTAGGCAAGAAAAAGATATTAAGGGCATTCAGGTAGGAAAGGAAGAAATCAAGCTCTCACTGTTCGCAGATGATATGATACTATACTTAGAGAACCCAATAACCTCCACCAAAAAAGGCCCAGAAACAATAGACTCATATAGTAAAGTTGCAGGCTATAAAATCAATACACAAAAGTCCATGGCTTTCCTATATGCAAACAGTGAGAGAAGAAAGCAACATGAAAAAAACAATCCCGTTCACAATTGTGCCCCAGAAAATCAAGTACTTAGGAATCAGCTTAACTAAGGAAGTAAAGGACCTGTACAAAGAAAACTACAAAACGCTACTTCAGGAAATAAAAGAGGACATGAGGAAATGGAAAGATATCCCCTGCTCATGGGTCGGGAGACTTAACATTGTCAAAATGGCAATACTACCGAAAGCATTGTATAAATTCAATGCAATCCCTATAAGGATACCCATGACATTCTTCAAAGAAATGGAGCAAACACTCCTGAAATTTATATGGA